ACAAAAGCGGTATCTTCAATAGCGTTGACACCTTCGCCATGGTTTGGCATAGGTGAGGTGATTACATTCAGAGTTGGAGGAGGATCAAATTCAATGGTCTTGTTGTTAATGAGGTCTTGGATCTTGCACTTTAATGCCCAACAATGACCAGTGTCATGTCCGGGACTATTGGAGTGGTAAACACATTTGGCATTCGGGTTATACTTTAGAGATGAAACATTGGGATTTTAAGGGGGATCACATAATCTTACCAAATTAGCATTTAACATGTGTTGTAGGGCTTGGGATAGTGACATGTTGATCCTTTTAAATTATCTTCTTAGAATATCAGGTATTTGGTAGTTAGCTTGTTGTTGTGGTCTTTGAGTAAAGGTCGGATTGGATATCAGAACTGCATTAATAGACTGACGATGGTCCTTATTGACATAGCCCCTTGACCCATATATGATATTAGTTTCCTTTTTGCTGGTAAAATGTTTCTTCACAGTATTTGATGTAGAGGCAGAGGCCATGGGTATCTTTCCACTTTTAATGCCGCTCTCAACCCTTTCACCAGTCAAGATTAACTCATTGAACCCAGATGATGAGTTCCCAATCAATAAGTTGAAAAATGGCCCAGTCAATGTTCCCATGAACATATCTACCAATTCCCTGTCATTCAATGGTGGATGCACCCTGCCAGCCAGGTCTCCATTTTTGCGTATATTCTTTGAATCCTTCATTGGAACCCATGGTAATTCCTTGTAACTGTACTCTAGTTGGCGCCAGATCGGAATTATAATGATATTGACGGTAGAAGGCGGTGGCCAAGTCCTCCCAGGTATGGATGTTGGAACCTTCTAACTGGTAAAACCACTCCAATTGAGTCCCAGACAGACTCTCTTGAAAGAAGTGCACCCACAACTTCTTATCAATGGTATGTGGTTGAATTTTACGGATGTAATATCTCAAGTGAAGCTACGGGCACGAAACGCCATCGTACTTGGCAAAAACTAGAATCTTGAATTTGTGGGGGATCGCTACCCCAGGAACCAAACCTAAATCACTAAAATCTAGGTCAGGCACAACTTGAATTTCCATAGCCTTTAATCTGTCCTCCAGTTGCTTATACTTGTTTTCAGCCGGCGGATATTGTTCCTCAAAATAGTCCTCATCCTCAGACATTGGATTGTTACCACCTTAAGCACAGGTGCTCCTCACATCTTCATTCTGATTCTCATCTTCCTCGGTGGAGTCTTCTACCACTTGAACTTGTCAAATGGGGCCCTTGAACCTTTTCCCCATGTTGATCAAAGCCTTCCTCTTGGTCTTTTTCTTTGCAACCAAAAGTGACATCAGTTCTTGCTACCCTTAGGCTAAGTTGAGTAAGGTTTCTTGAAATTGAGAATTTTGTGTCTGCAAGTCCTTCACAGTCTGCTCGAGATCCATCTTACTGAAATAAACAATAAAAAGATGAGGAAACCTGTGTCAAAAAACCTGCTTATGTTATGATGCATGTAATGTGAATGCAAATGTTTTCAAGGACCTTTAAGATTTAAATTTGCTTAATCAAAGAAGGAACAAACATTAATTGTATTAATAAGTTCAAACGATTAGAAAAAATTCCTCTTGGGCTTACAATAAAAGAAAAACAAACAAAATAAACTAATACAAAAAGGCTTAGGTCTCCCATGGATGCTTCCTCTTTGGAGCAATGTAGGCATTCAAGTTCCGCTCCTCGTGAAGTTGCCTTGTGAGCTCCAATACTTTCTTCTCGCTTGCATAGAACTAGGTTTCATAGGTGTTTCACTCCCCTTTGAGTTGAATCCACAATCTTTGCAACTCCTCGAGCGTAGTAGGCATGTCAGGATAAAGAATAGTGTAGGGAATATCTCCTTCGGCAATAGAATCCATGATGATGGGTAAGATGGCAGGATACGACATCATGAGGGTTTGAGCGTGAGCTCGCATCCATTTGAGATAAGGCTCCAATGGAATAGAGTTCTTATGCCCTAAAGTTTTGCTATCGACTTTGTTCACCATGGCCCAAGTTCGTATAAATCTTGGATGATAACCTTGGACTTCATTCTCATAGTCAAATACAATTCCTTGGACAAGCGCGTCATGAGGGCCGTCCCTCTGAGCATACCCAAACTGTCGTAGAGACAAACAAGGATTATAGGTGATACCTCCCCTAATTCCAAAGAGAGGGACATTAGGGAATTATCCACAACGATCAATGATAATGACATCCTCCAAAGATCGAGAACACCAATGGATATCCGAATGCGAGAGTGACATCAACCTTTGAGACCAACTCATACCTTGTTCATTTTTCAAAACTGATCGAGGAAGGTACAAAATAAACCACCTAGCCAACAAAGGAGTACAACACATAAGAATCCCCCTTCTCTTCATGGTGCGAGTATGAAAAGAATGAAAAATATCTCCAAGTAAGGTAGGCACCGGGTTACGAGATATAAAAACTTTAACCGTATTCACATCTATGAGTTGGTCCAGGTTAGGAAATAGTACCATCCCATAAATTAGAAGGGAAAAAACCTCTTCAAAAGCTTGCAAATCTCGAGCATCCCAAAAAAGTTAAGCCTTCTCAAACAAAAACTTGGCTAGAAAACCCTTAACACCACTTCTTGTTTCCCAATTTGCCACAACGTCGGATCGTTGCAAATGTAAAGCTAGAGAAATCTCCTCGGGTATTGGGTCTTTCTTAATACCGATGAAGGGTAATTGATCAAGAATAGGCACTCCCAAGAGTTGATAAAACTCCTCCATGGTGGGCACTAATTGGTAATCAGGAAATGTAAAGCAATGGTGCTTAGGGTCAAAGAATTGAAAGAGTACCCCCATCATTTTTTCTCCAAAATTTGAGGTAGCCAAGTTGATGAGACGACCATACTTCTTGGTGAACGGAGAATCATGGGGAACCCTTGACACTAAATCCTTGAGTTGAGGAGGCACTTTCACAAAGCCGATTCAGATAGTCTTTCTACGAGTGGAATCCATGTCCTACAAAACAGACAAAGATAAATCCAAAGGTCCTCGAAATGGTTAGTGCAAATGCCATGGTATGATGTCATGATTAAAACAACCGGATGAAAATCATCAAACAATGAAGTCACCATCAAACGTCTTTTATTCCACATCAAGGAAAAAGTAAACATCGAGAAAACCTGAGAAGGGACAAGTCACGGTCTTGCGACCGAGAGATCGGGTAAGGGAGTATGTTACACAAGGGGAAAGTATTAGCAACCAACATGCCCGTAGTACTCTATGATATCCACTCTTGTTGTCTATCTTATGGGTGTGTTTAATCTATGCTTACTGTTTATTGCTTAAGAAGAATGCATGCAAAAGAAAGGGGAAAAGAATGTAGGGAAAATAAAGTTGTACTCGATTAGGCCTTATCCCAATGCCTACGTATCCTTTTTGAAGAATCATAGCTGCCGTAGTTTGGCTCACATGTTTTTGTTTGTTTGTGTTTTTTATGGACAATGTTAATCTCGCCTTCTGCCGCAGCTCGACCTTTGGAGACTTATGCGTTGGCACAAAAGTAAACTAATCATGTCCTTACCTGAAAAGGGTTTTTATAGGAAAGGTTCTTGGGCGCACAAAAACGTTAGAGTTGGTTTGTATTTTGTTACCTTGAAAAAGGGTTTAAGTGTTATTAACATGTTTTTGATTTGCTAAGAAAAGGTTTTAGTTTTAGGATGTATATGCAAAAGGGGAAGAAAAGAGTCTAAGGGAGACTAGCCTATTTCTGACCTAATGTTATCATACAATGGTGGTCCTAAGATTTGGATTAACAAAAGGGAAATTTCTACCTAGTGTTAACATGCATGGTTTACAACCTAAGGTCTAAGTTGCATCCAAACGGAGCAAGCGCATCCTAAGAGAACATGGTATTTACAAGGATAAAGCAAACAAGCTAATAAGCTCAAGAGAGCACACCTAGAGAGATCCTATCTAGGCTAGCATGCCAAAGAAAGTCTAACAAAACTATCCTATAGGGAACATGCAATGAGAGTGAAGTCGTGATCTCAATTTCTAAATTGAGTGACTCATCGATCAACAGGAAATAAAGGAAAGCGACAAAATCCTATAGGGAGCATGCACTGAGAGCGAAGTCGTGATCTCAATTCCTAAATTGAGTGACTCATCGATCAACAACCAAGGAAACAAACAGAAGCACAACACATAATGCAAAAGAAGTGCGAAATGCATGCTATAGGTCTTTAAACAGCGACTTCGAGCGCACGCTCTTTATTTCCTACTTCTCATGATGTCTAGAAAGAAGTAAAGTACTGAATGAGATAAACAAAAGAAAATACCAAATGGATATCAATCTGTAGCAAAGTGTATCAAAACAAAGAAACTCGACGATCTTCGCGAAAGCTTCACCAAACAAAGAAAAGATTTAGAAATCAACGCTCGGAATAAGTATCGAAGCATCATCGATGTGAAAATAAATCACAATTGAAATCTCAAGCGCATCTGCATATTGAACAATAAACCTGCATAAGACTCAAATCTAAACAAGAAAAGGTGAATTCACAAATCTCGAGTAACAAAATGATTATTAATGTAATTGATAATAGAAAATTCTAAACAAGCTTCTACAAAAGAAATTCTACAAAAATCTATTATATTCCAATAATTTATCGTTTTTTATATTATTTTTATCATGTATTACATTGGAAAAAATTAACAAACAAAAAAAATCCTAATTCTAATGAAGAATTAGTAAACTCAGGGGTGCTGATTTGAGTCCAGGGAGTATGGCTCAACAAGTTTGGGCGCTGGCCTGTTAGCAAGGTCCAAATGCAGTTTTTATTTTTTTTAGCAAAAGGCTTGCAAAAACAAGGGCAAAACGGATTTAGATGCATCCATTTGGTCCAGCCCACCCATCAGAAAATTAATTAATGCAAAGAGAACAAAAAAACATGGACGGTGCGTTTTAGGGGGGGATTTAGACTCAACAGATTGTGCCCTTTCGCCTCACCATGAAAACAAGAGCTCAACTCTTCTATGGCGGCCGCAAATTAGAATGTTCACGCTCCTTCTCTTTCAATAGCCTCCGTGAATCCTCAGATTTTGTCGAATTCATCCCTCTCCGCCACGAACCTCTAATTGAATCAAATACCGCCACTCGAATCCGCTCATCCACCATATTTTACTTCATCTTCGAAGCTTAGTTCGCTCCGTCTTCCACTTGTCTCTCACACCTCTACCTTAGGAAAACAACTGCGAATCCGAAAACATAAACAATGAAGAGAAAGGGTTTACCGACTGAAAAAGAAATCCGATGGATCTTGACTTCAGAGAAGCCTTGAGAAAGATATCCCGACGCTTGTATTTTAGTAAGAACATTGAGTATTCTTCTTCTTTCATTAGTGATATCTTCTGCTATTACTGTGATCTTTTATGTTCTTGACTCGTTTCTGGTTAGTTTGGTCTTCTTGTTCTTCTTCTCAGCATTACAACGCGGGTTCTGCGTTGCTGTTTTCTTTGCGATTTGTAAAACCGTGAAGTTGTTAATGGATTGAATATGATGAAGGATTGAGGTTGTAGCGAAGATTGAAGATGCGATGAATGATGCCGATACGCAACAAAACTATGAGATGCATGTGTAATTTTCAGAACTGATATATGAAATTGATGATGTTGATGCGATGCCGAACTGAGAGGTTGTAGATGATTGAAACAACTCTCATAGAGATAGAATGCATATTTTCTTGGTGATGGAGGATGAAGATTGAGAGAGTATGGTGAAGAGGGCGAGAGAATTCTGTTATCAGTTTTTTTGGTGATTCCTCTGCAGATTCAAAGAATGAAAATCCTTCAAGGTAATTTCTTGTATTCCTTTTTTATAATTCTGTTAGATTGGAGATGGTTAGTTAGAGGTTGTTATAAACTGTTTTCTGTTGGAGAGGAGGTTATGGAGTTGGCAGTTAGGCATTATGTTAACTCTGTTAGCTAGTTCCTAAAGTTTGTTAGTTGGGAAGAGATTGGAAAAATCAGTTAGGAAGTTAGAAAAATGATAGGTTAATTGGTTAGGAATTTTTTCGGTTGTAGGTTACAGGTTTGGGTGAAGAACTCAAATGAGGATCTGCTTTTATTTATTTATTTTTGTTATAAGTCAGTTTTTTTTGTTACAGTTAGTTACAGACTGTCACAGGAAGTTATGAAAAGGTGTTTTGGTTGTTATTTTTCAGTTAGATGAATTAGGATGTTAGAGAAGCTAATTGATAGTTTGCAGGACTGTTAATTTCTGTTTCAATGATGCAGGTTTTGTGTGGATTTGATGCGGGGTTAGTTTGTCGATGAAGATTCTTGGTGATGATGGCTTCGTTTTAGTGCAAGGCTACCGTACATATGTAATTGTTGATCTGTTTTTGATTATGCAAGGTTATTTAATGAAATGATTGAAGGCATTGTGTAAAGCTTGATGATCATGTCATAGTTTTGGCATTGAATTTGAAAAGGTCATGGTGAATGATCTTGAAGAATATTGAGATGGAATCATGGAGTTTGGGTCTAGCAATTTGGATTAGAAAAAATATGCTTTCGTTTAGTTTTCTTTATATAGTAATTTGTATATATTTTCAAGATGAAATGGAATGACAACTTGTAATCTTGAGTGAAATCAATTAGGATAATACTTGAATTCATCTTTAAATCTTGTAAATTTGAATTCACTTCTGATTTTGGTATTGACTTTATCAACCAAGTAATATGGGATAAAAGGTTTCCCTCCTTTTCAAATTTGAAACTCAACTTTCCTTCTTTAATGCCTTAATAATTGCACAAAATCAAATGTATGCTTCCAACAACTTTGGTGAATTGAACCAAGTTTGAATCCATGGAATGATTTAAATCCACTTCAACCTTAATCCAATATTAACTCGCATGACAAGAAACAAACAATTTGAAAGAATGACACCTTGATTATAATCAACATTTGTACCTGTGATCGGTGGAAATAGAACTGACTGTTTTTTAATGCTGGTTCGCGAAATGTCGCGGTAAGCAAGAGTCGCCACCGTCTTTTAGGTTCTCCAACAAGGAAAGGATAAAAGCACAGCAAAATTCCTTTTCGAGATGTCTCTCGGTTCGGGAGGTAGATTATAGAAAGGGAAGGTGTTAGCACCCTTTCTATTCGTGGTTATCCACGGGCTCTTAGGTACTTGCTCACTATGTTTTTAAAAAATGTTTGCTTTTCTTGTGTTTGTGGGTTTTGAAAAAAGTTTGTTTGAAAACTTCGTTTTAACTCTTGTATCAGTCTTCAAGAGTGTATGAAGTGTTTGTTTGAAAACTTTTGTCAGAAAAGTGTAGGTGCGAAAAGTTGTTTTTGTTTTGAAAGAGCAAGTACCTGAGAACCTCTACCTACTCAAAAGAAATTAAGTTTTGTAAATGTCCTTTAGACAGTACTATCCCACTATTGAGAAGTAGGTAACACCGTCGTCGGAGTTTTCGGGTCAATTCGATTATAGGGACATGTGGTCACCAAAGCAATAGTAGGACGCCTTAGCGGTAACCCTAATGTCCTAGATCCTTTTTTATCCGAGGCAACCGTTTCAAGGCAACTTGGATCTTTAGACAGGAGGGCGACCTCTAAAACACCCTATACTCAATGACCACGTCGAGGCAACCAAGTGAGGCGTACCCTAAGAGTGGCATGTGCGAGTGTGTCAGGTTTCAACTAAGTTATCTTTGCATAAGTTATGATGAGCTACGAGTTGATTTTAATTTCAGAGATAAGTCTTGTCATGCATAGCCTAGTTAACATACATCTAACAGTTAATAGTTGCGGAAAATAAATTGCGGAAAGTAAACCTACGCTATTACAAGGCGTCAGGTATTGACATCGTCAAAAACAAACCCTTGGAAAAAGTAAATTGCGGAAAATAAAAGAAAGCGATAAAAAGTCCTAATTATGCTATTACATTCTCGGAGCAATTATATAAATATGATCAAAAATAATATGCGCGAAAAGAAACTAAATCGGAGAAGTCCTTAGGGTTTTGACCCTTTTTGAGAAAGAATGAAATTTTGTATTGTTAATGAATCAAATTAAATTAAACCTAAAACTAATTAATTAATTAAAAAAGAAATTTTTTTGGTTTTTTAATGTTTTAAGGAAAATAAAATAAAAGAAATTAAAAGTTGTCAAAAACCTAATTCTACATGGATTTTATTTATTGCAAAAAATTTAAAGTTAACCTAATTAAAACTAAGTTAGTTATTATATTAGTATTTATTTACATAAATAACTAATTAAGGGTGAAATTAATTTAAATAATAATAATAATAAAAAATATTACATTTTTTAGTTTTCTGAATTTTATTATGAAAATAATTAATTTTGTTAATTAAATAATAATAATAATAATTAGTAAAATAGTTAAATGGAAAAATATAAAAGAAAAAGAAAAAAGAAAAGAAAAGAAGAACCCAGGGGGTGTACTGGTCCAATATGGAGGTGAGAAAGCAATTTGAAGCCCATTATCCTCAAGCCTGCTTTGACTTTCTGGATTAAATGTTTGTTGGTTGACTGAGCGCATGGTAGTCATCATCTCATAGCCATTAGATTTGTGACTGTGGCCACTTGGCGCCCGGGACTTGAAAGTGCATGGTGGACATCTCTTGGGAAGGTTGCACAAGAACATGTTAAGGAAAATAACAAACAATTATTTTGGGGGACCTGGGATTCGAACCCAGGTCCCAATGATTCCCAGCCAACGTATCCTCCACTACACCATGTGCACGCGTTTGTTATTATAACAATAAGCAAATATAATATATAAAAACAATCAAATATGCTGTAACCAAAAAACGCGCGCACTTATTTTCAAACTGACCAATGATGTATCAACACCTAGTCATCTTCTTCCTTTGTACCTGTAAAAACAAATCAGATAGCGGGGGTTTTTAACCCCCACTAAACAGTGTGACGAAAAATAGCGATTAGGGTTGTGTTCTATATAAATATTTCGCGATGGTTGCATCATATTCGTCTGGTTCTCACGAATTCAGTCATATATCTTATAAGGCCTAATTTTTCCTGGATTGCAAAGCCCTAATTTGAAAGCTTATGAACCCTAAAATTCATCAATGGCATTCTGTGATTTATGGCGTTATAATTCAATTGAGCTATACCATTATCTTTGTACAGTCCCTAGCAACACAAATCAAACACAAAATCATGTTAATGATGTATGAATTAAGCTGTACGATTCTTAAAATAAAATGCAAACCGTGACTCTGTTCTTGATGACTCTTTGAGCTTCAATTCTTGGTTTTGATTGCAAAACGTCCCTGAGAACTCCTGCAAGGTATTAGAATCCACAAAAGCCTTTGAATCGTGCTAGAATATAGAAATCAGTTTTGCAATTTTCTTGAATTTTTTCAATATGGTTATTGCTTTTTCTGCAGAAATTTCATGTGTGCATGATCAGGGTTTGCTTGTGTATTTATAGGAGAATGAGATTAGGTCAGAATCTTGAGCAAAAATCCATGGAATGATGATTTGAATATTTGATTGAAAATCAAATCTTTTTGTATTTTCATGATTGGAAAAAGTTGCCAAATTTGGAGATATTGCATCTTTGACTTGGTGCACGAAATTGCCAGCCTTTTTAGGTCATTCTTGCTTCACAAAAAGATTGAAAAACCATATCTTTATATTTTCCTACAATTTAAATTAATTAAATGAATTAATATTGATTAAAAATCCAATTAATTAATAAAAAACAAGAAAATAATTCAATTAAGCTTGATGAGTCGTGCATATGCCATGGATAAAGTTTCAAGAAGAAATTTGAGGCCCATTAGCAAAAATAAGGTGTTTTGAGCAAAGTTGACTTTTGCAAATTCCTAAAAATTTCCCAACTTCTCCAATGCATATCTTGCTCAATTTTGATCATATGAACATGTTTTTGGACATTTTGGAAAGGTCTTGAAGTCCTCTAACCAATGCCTTTGGTCCTATGTCATTTGGATTTACCAATCTCAAGTTATCGCCTTTGACTTAAAGTGCATTTTTGTTGACTTTTGAAAAGGACCTATAATGTAAAAATTGATAACTTTTTGTGAGAGAATTTCTAGGACTTGGAGTGTGAAGATGGATTGTAGGAAATTTCATCCCCTTCAAAATGAGAAATTGATGGGATTTTTCTGATGAACCATGAAAAAG